CAGATTCTTGAAATAAGAAAAAAATTGAGTCAAATCAAGTATTTCAAGAATCTGAATCTGAAAACAAGATGATTATTCTTACACAATCAGTTCCTGTTTAGTAAATCAGTCACAAAACAAAATCAAAAAGACATTTTGGCTGATATAAGATTTTAAATCTTGGTTAGGTGGACAGAAGCCGTTCTTGTCTGAACTAAAACAGACACACAACCAGTTAATGCTCTGAAGGAACGGCAGACCTCCAGCCTCTGAGCTCCACTCAGGTCTGACATGTGAACCGTGACACCAACGAGCCTACGAGGCAGTAACTCCCTCCCACTCCACCAAATACTGCACCTTGCCGTCGAGCGTGACCCGTCGGGCCAGGACCTTGTACTTCTCCCCACAAGCCAGACGGCCTGCTACTCCGAAGTAGCTGCTGATAGAGTTCTTGAGGTGTGAGAGCTGGCTGTTGGGGTCCATGCCGTGAACTATGTCTGTGGAGTGAAGCCCCGTGAGGGTGAGCATCTCTGTGGCCGACGGGTCGGGCTCGGCCTGGCTGGGAGGAGGGGGGATCTCGGGGGCCAGCGGGGTCCGCCGCGGTCGCCCACGTTTTCGTTTCAACGGCGGAGAAGTCAGAGGCATGTGACAGGATGACGGCTGTGTCCTGCTGGAACTGTAGAGGCTGAAGGAAAAGTTTGTAAACATAAAGCATGAATCAGACTAGGATTACTTTGACAGGATTATTTCCTGGTTCTGTCACAACATAAAGCTTGTCTGAAGTTTGAACACTGTTTGAATATTTAGATGTTATGTTTGTTTGAATGGTAGGGGTGTAAGAAAATATCGATACACTGAAATATTGCGATATTTCATTTCCTGATTCTGTATCGATATTCTAAAGCCCTGTATCRATTTTTTTTAAGGTTTAAACCAGAAGTGCCCAACCAGTCGCTCGCCAGCTGATTCCCAGGTGCCCACGAAGTGCAACCTTGCTGCGGAGCCTCTAGCGCYGGCTTTGAGCGTCGCATCCTGGAGTGGCTGGTCTTGCTTGAAAGCTCTGGTTCTGCCCTACAAGGTGAAAGTTGAATGAAGTCTTTGTGACGTTCCCCCGTGGAGCAATAAGCAAATTACGCACAACTTAGTGCATTTTATGCGCATTTTTGGGAGGAAATTTCAACCTTCGTTTGCTTCTCCTGCGGGCTCTGAGCATCAGATCCAGGAAAGTCAGATGACTTTGGAAAGCTRCGGTCCTCCTCTACAAACTGGAGGTRGYTGCAAGTTCCTGGAACGTTCCCCCGCGGAGCTATTAACCAAMGAYCGGCCGAAAAAGGCGCTTTGGCGGGCGATATAGTACTCAATTCACTCCGGAGCCTCTAGCGCCAGCTCTGAGCGTCAGATCCAGGTGGGAGAGGCTCGTTTTAAAGTTCTGGATCTCCGCTACAACCTGGAGGTGGTTCCAAGTTACTGGGACGTTCTCATGCGGAGATATAAGCAATCAAAAGTCGTCGGCGAGCTCCGGCGGGTGAAACAGCTGATTTCCAGCACAAGCTGCTGGTGCTGATGCAGGGGAATAAAATGAAGAGATCCAGTGAGGTGGAACCGTGGTCCTTCATCCAGCACCCGCTCTCCCGCCTGGATTCAGCCAGAAACTCCTGGCGGGCGATATTTCTGCAAAAAT